TTGAAATGGGAAGTCGTCGTGTGTTTTGAGAAAAATATCGTCATTTGATCAAAACAACACCGGCAAGATTATGGTCACGTCCTCGGCAACGATTTATAGAAGAGTCAACGTTAATTTGCATATCCCAAAGTGCTCACAACAACTCGTTTCTATGCCATCGCGTGTCCACGAGTTAAAAAGGGTATTACTGAGATTACGCACACTTTGTTATTATTTGAAAATTTTACCCGCCGTTAATATTAGAGAAAGGCTAAAACTAAAGCAAAGCGGCCGAAGTTCACTCAAATGTCAAATAATATTGATCACACAGGAAGTACAGGTCACACAGAAGCGATTGTCTCTTTTAACTCTTACCGAGACTAGACTTTCTTGTGTCCACTATTTAGTGAACGTGGACAATAAGTAAAAAATAATCCCCAGAGGAATAATGATAGCATTAAAAAACTAAGGCCTGCAAAATTCATTCTGCATACCATCTGACCTATGTACACAAACCTACCACCCTTTAACTCCCCCAAGTGATCAAATTACAAATTCTCCTTACAATATCACTACAAGATCAAGCAGACAAGTGATGAGAATACGAAAAGAGTTTAGCAAGGAGATTATTAGTTGATTTAATATCAAATTCTCAGAACTAAAATCATAAGAATCGTATGACAGGCAGTAAGGAGAATTACTAATGACCTCTTGGGAGTGAAAGGGTTGGCTACATACACACACTCTCAGTTGAGAAACAATCACACTTCAAGGACATCGTGGTTATCCTTGAGAAATTCAGCAGCTTCCGCTTCAACGCATGCTCGGAAGCCTTCACGATGATAGGCGGAGAACATTAAAGGTGTAAAGAATTGATTAGCTGTGCTGTGATTCGGGAACTTGTGGCAGAGGAGCTCAGACAAACCGCTCAGGTGGGACCTTTTGTTACAACATGCACAGCAACAGAAGGTCAACTCGTCGACGTCTTCTTCGCTCAGATATGGACTATTCCCCCAGTCACGTGCGTCCAGATGGAAACCAAACTCTTCCCAGGTTTTGATCTCGCTCTTTTCACCTTTTCGCGGATCTCTTGGCCGAATGAACAAAATTTCACCTTCACCAACTTTGTGGTCGTTTTCGTAGTATTCAACGTTAAATCTAGCGAAAAAAGAAACAATGGATAAAAAATGATTGTTTTGAATCAAGATATTATAAACTTGTTTGAATTTAAGACCTTCTAGCTTTCATTGACTTTATACTTTAAAGAAGTTTTGCTACAGTGATAATTTTTGTGTCTGTAGAACGTCTTTCATCTTAAAAGAGAAAACAGTACTCCGACAAGATACAATACTATAAAGAGACAGTAATACACCAAGAAGCAAAAAGACTAACTGAAGATAATTGCAAATGGAAAACACTGCCCAAGCTTCATGCGATACACAAACCTTAGCATGGATCCGAGAACCGAGAATAGACTCGCTATCCCGAATCAGTAGAAAAAATGGGAGCTCATTCTCTCTTGCGCCAACTCAAGGTCATATTTTCCCCTCATTCCCACTTAGGCATACCCTGTTTCAATTTTATCTTAAGATGAATATCTCAGACCCCCCACCTTCCGCTCGGAAAACTGGTGCTTTCCCTGCTTGCGGGTAATCAAGTGTCTGTAGGTCCCGACTTGTCGGTGCTCGACGACAAAGAAGAGACGGTGGTAAATTACGGAAAAGATCATAAACACGTACCTGAAATGTCGTGGTTTTTTTTCATCTGGTTGTTGCAGCCTCACGAAATTCTCCAACAGGTCTGAAATGACGTCACGACCGCCCTGGCCAATAAATGAACAGTTCAGGTCTCTACGAGCCAGCATCAGTGCTTTCAGTAGGCCTTTTCCATACTTCTTCTCATTGGAATAGTAACCGCCATCCACCACAATAATTTTCTTGAGTCTCTTCTTTAACAATGGCAAAATAGCAAGATTTTCCACGTGGCCTCCATCGCTGAGTAGCATGACGGGAGGAGGCATGGGTCCGATGTTCTCAATGTTAAGGCCTTCTCTCACGAACTTCACAAAGGACACGTGCACGATGAACCACCTTGGTAAAAAAAAATTATACATATTTGTTTAAAGGGGGTAAGTTTCTACAGAAACTGTGATGTTGCGTCGGTGGAAGGTATTACAAGATGATTTGGTTTTGTCGACTGAGTTGATAATGTAAATAGGCCTCCATAGAGAGATTCTAAATTCCGAAGTTTCGAGCGTTAGCCCATCGTCAGAGTGAAACATATACATACAAAGAAGGACTGTTTATTTAACAAATGGTTGTTTTCACACCGTGAACTGAGAATTCTACCCATCTCGGTGATTTGAGTAGGCTCAAGTCGTATGACGATTTCCAAAGTAACCACAATGATCATATATATTATATATAATTATAGAAAGCTTTCATTTCAATTAACTTCTGATCAGGATTAATCTGCCATAATTGAGGCATGGACGTTTTGGGTTTCTTCGACTTATCATTTATAGCGATTCCATTGGTGTGTCAAAGGAACACAAGAGTTGCTTTAGTTTTACTCAAAATTCTGGACCACTTTCTAAACTAATCACCAATTTTGTCATGCTTATTTTTCTTGCCCTTTAGGCTGGTTGCATTGAACAATTTACCACGAGTTCTCACGGGCTCCTTCGAATATTTCCCATTGTTCAGATTGACATTTAGTATTTAGGTTTGGGTCTATCCACACCATGGTAAGGTGCTCAGATTTATACAATCCTTACCTGGCTATCTTCTCCCATAAGTTTGGGTTCGGAGCTCCTGTATCAGCGAGAGCTCCAATGCAAGCCAACATGAGGTGAATTGCAAAGAATGTGAATACTCCTGCTTTAATTGACCACACATCTCCTCTGCTATAGTAAACCGCTGGTACAGCGATCAATGGAAGACCACGGAGAAGGTTGATGAGAATTGGGAGGAGCTGTTGTAAAGAGAAAAAGATACATGCAGGCCTGAAGCATTAATAAGGGACAGAGTCAAGGAAGTCACCTTACTGTTATTCTGTTTCAACATGATATGTACTTGCCGAGCAAGTATTATGCTTAGAGATCGGTCATTATTTATCACGGGGAAGGGAGAAGGGGAGGGGGGATGGGGGGAGTGGTTGGAAAGACTTTTAGAGGTGTCACAATAAAATTTACTAGAATTTCCCATAAGGTTTTATGGGAAGACAGGTAATGTTTGTCCTTTATAATCTTTTGGCCACGACTGATCTCTCCCCCCCTGAAAACCCTATGATTCCCTTAAAATCCTGCTTTCCCCGAAGCTCCCCCCTCCTGTTCCGTCAGAGCAACTGATCTCAACTGCATTGGGGTACTCTCAGCATGGCATGTCCTTGCCAAACGAATATAATTCTCAGAGAGAAACTCTCTGAGAAGGCCAAAACTCTACAGCAGTCCTGCTGGAGTTATTGTAAGATGAA